CAGCGTTCTGTTCTCTGGTATGAACATGTGTCTCATGGTTTTAGATGAAATCATAGCGTCATTTGGCCTTACGTTATTCACACAAACACAGTCAAGTACTTTCGGCGAGGAGGAGGAAAAATCTGATCAGTATCCTGAGTAATTTAGTATCCTAATAAATAATCCAAGCCTCCTCTTTTTGTTCTGTTTCGATGTAAAGTTTTGATTATTTTTTTAATGGACGTTTCACCTGTTTGACTTCCATGCGGCAGCATCGTCTAGATTCTGAGAGTGTGCTCGTGGCTAAAACCACAGCCCCGAGCGGGTCGCCAGCACGCCGGCTAATGTTAAAGCTTTGCCCGTCTGCTAGAGTCTGAGTGACGTAAACGTCATCTCGTGGACGTGCCTGCAAGTTTCTGTGAGAGTTTCCGATGCACCAACTACGTTTGCACCCCAGCTGGTGGAAATGCAGAAAACTGACTGGACTGACGAGTCGGCCGTGCCGTCTCCGGCTGTCCGAGTCCACAACAGACTGTAATCAAGGCTTAAGAGGTGATACCATGAAAAGAGCAGTTGGAGCTAATTTGGTGTTATTTCTTTTGTGAAAGCAACGTACGACAAGAAAACACATTTGAGGTTTGCTCCGACAGCAATCACGCCGACGTTTCCGTGGGATCTTTGTGTCATCTGGTGAATGAGTTCTGTGTCGTTCCTCGTGTCCCTGACTGTCACGAGCCTGTGCGACTCTGAGTCCAGCTTTGTGTTTTTGTTTGTCACAACATCCAAATTTCATTTCAAATTGTGTTAAATTTGAAGGATGTCATTCTTCAGTGAAAGTGAACTTTAACACATTTCTGAAGGTGCAACATTTCATTTTAAGTAGTGCTGTCGGCGTTAATCTCGTTAAAATGACGTTAACGCCATAAGGTGGCAAATCTCCATTAGAGAGTTAACGCGGATCGCCCCATGCGAGGGGCTGCACGTCGCTAACGCATTAACAAGCTAACTTGTGCATCGACGCTGTGCAGCCGCTCGCACGGGGCGACCCGCGTTAACTCGCTAATGGAGATTTGCCACCTTATGGCGTTAGCGTCATTTTAACGAGATTAACGCCGACAGCACTAATTTTAAGTCGTGTTGTAATAATTCAAGAGGTCAGAAAATCCTTAAATCTGTTTTTCACCAAGTTGCCAACTTTCTTAAGGTCTGACTCATTTACGCTGTATTTAAAGTTGAAGTTGGTCAGAGAGTTTGTCTGTGGGAATACAACACAAGAAAAATATCCTCATGTATTTAATGCAAACACAAGTGTCAGCTGATTTACTTCTAAAATTTAATTCAGAAACCAGCAGCGAACTCACATCATCCACTGAGACCAAACAGTCCTTTGGTTCAGCTAATACACAAAAACGACTGAATAACTGTAAATAATTTACTGTATTTGCTGGTAAAGGTGAGACATGAGCAGGTGATGCCGCCAGATTTCACAACCACGCCCCCGAGGCTGTGCCCAGGTCCAGGGAGGTTTGTTTTCTTCTCTGTATGTTTCTGATTTGACGTTTTCTGTACCGTCTTAGTCTACATTTACAGGTTGTAGGTCAGCCCCTCCCCCCACCCCTCTGCTGAGCAACGTGTTTCTACTTGTTGTCGACCATCGCAGCCGTGACTTCTCTAAATGTGACTAGAATGTGTTTGACATGTTATATTCTGCATGTAGACTCTGCGAGGCTATTTTTGGTCTCTGACGAAATAAAAAAAAGAAAAAATGTTTTTTTAATGTACACCGGAGTGCTGTGGCGTCATTTGATTGAGTGTCCTGTGAGCTTTCTCTTCGATTTCTGCGTCTTCTCGTGACTGATGCTCTCGTGTTACGGCACACTCGACGCTCTGTGATGAATTAATGATGTTTTTTAAACTGAGTGTTGAGATGACCTTCATCATCAGTCGCTGGAGACCAGAGACAGTTTTGTTTTTCCCGTACAGACACGATGTCCTCATTTCATACTGAACACTAAAATTACACATCATACACCATCTCTGCCCCTTCATCAGCATCC